AGTGTACATGTTTTGAGGTTAAATTTTGATTCTGTTAAATAAATGACCGCATTTATTCTGATGGGTCAAAGATAAATTACGTCTCGTGTCACTAATTATACACTCCACTCTTGAGTTATCTTGGTCACATGGCAGAAATTTAACTCGAAAAAGAAATAATCCGTTGTTAATTAAACAATTAATATTCTTTGTGCTTGAACTAGCCTAAGAATAATTAATTAAGTAGTGCGTCCACAACAAAGCTGTCCCGACATTACTACACAATTAATCTAAAAAGTCCTTAACTAAGGGATTCTCCAGAAAGCACACGTGCAAATTAAATTATTATATGATTCTATTTTGGTGTGATTTCAGCCAAGAAGTCAGAAAACTCATTTATGAAATCCTTAGATTGAGGTGGGCGGTAGACGAGTGCAAATAAAGTCTGAGGTGAATGTCCGAGTTCAAAGACGCTCAGCTCAAAGCTGGCGCGGGAAGCTGGGATGGGCAGTTGTTTACAATCAAAAGTTGATTTGAATATTGTTAATAATCCACCACCGCGCCGGCCTGATGGCCGCTGGGCGATAAAATACAGACAGTTTGGTGGCAATAATTCCGTCAAGGAGCTGGACTCACTCGGAGACATCCAAGTCTCTGTGATAAAGAAGAAATCCAACGCATGCTTTTGAAAGTAGTCCCTAAGGATAAAAGTTTTGCTGGTAACAGATCTTGCGTTGACCAAACGCATCCGGATACTGTCCAAAGTGGAGCTAGCAGCGGTAGACTTTGCACGCATCAGTGGCCTCAGATTTTTAATAACAGCCCCTCCAGGTCTGTCCGAGCTGCGCACCGGCCGACAACTCCCGTTGTTTAGCTGGTCCGGGCACGCGGGAAGCTGGCGATGGAAACCATGACCACCAGCTAAGGAGGAAGATGTAGCACGCAGAGCTTAAAGCTTTACCAGCTGACCAGCACGTTTTCCCCAGCGTCTGAAGCGATGTCTCCAGGCAGGCAGGTGAGGAGCCCAGCGGAGGTAAACTGGCACGTCCACCAGCGGGGGGGGGGGGGTCCAGAGGTACGCTGATAATGGTCCAAATAAGAGACATCAGTGACAGAAAAACGAAGATCCAGAAGCTGTTGTCTGTCATACATCAGAAGTGAATTTATGCCACAGATAAAAAACAAACAAAACAAAAATAACCCGAACACAATCAGCAGAGGTGGATTGCAAGCCATGCACACGGGCGCCATCTTACCGGAAGTTAATATATGCTTCCATTACGTAAAGTTATTCAACAGCATGAGATAAATTTTCATTGTTATGCTGATGACACACAATTATATTTGTCCATTAAACCCAATGAATCCAATCAGCTACTTATACTACAAGCATGTCTTAAAGACATAAAAACCTGGATGACCCTTAATTTTCTCCTGTTGAACACAGACAAAACTGAGGTTTTGGTTTTTGGACCTGAGCACCTTAGGAAAGAATTTTTCAGTCTTTCTCCCTCCTTAGATGCATTAATCTGTCCTCCAGCTCTAATGTTAAAAATCTTGGGTGTTATTTTTGATCAGGACATGTCTTTTATCCCCCACATTAAAAACGTTACTAGAACCTCCTTCTTCCGCCTGCGTAATATCACTAACATTAGAAACATGTGATCTAAAGATGATGCAGAAAAACTGGTCCATGCATTTGTCACGTCTAGACTGGACTATTGCAACGGTTTATTATCTGGGTGTCCAAATACTTCTTTAAAACGTCTTCAGTTGATCCAAAATGCTGCTGCCAGAGTCTTAACCGGAGTTAGTAGGAGAGATCATATTTCTCCAGTTTTAGCTTCTCTCCATTGGCTCCCTGTCAAATCCAGAATATAATTCAAAATCTGACTTCTAACCTACAAAGCTCTCAACAACCTGGCTCCATCTTATATTACAGATCTTATTGTTCCATATTTTACTAACAGAGCACTTCGCTCTCAGACTGCAGGTTTACTTGTGGTTCCTAGAATTTACAAAAACAGAATGGGAGGCAGATCTTTCAGTTCTCAGGCTCCTCTCTTTTGGAACCAACTTCCAATCTCTGTCCGTGAGGCTGACACATTATCCAGTTTTAAAACTAGGCTTAAGACTTTCCTTTTTGCTAAATCCTATAGTTAGGGTCGGCTTGGGTTTCCTGAGCTGTCCCTTAGTTATGCTGCTATAGGCTTAGACTGCTGGAGGACAAACTGACCACAATTTTCACTCTGCTACTGTCTTTAATTACTCTGCTCAACCCGTTTTGTATCTGTAATTATTTTTTCTATCCTTAACATGTGTTTTTTTGTATTTCAGATACACCTGGACCTATATCTGGACCTGGACCTATATCTGGACCTACCATTCTATGTTCTTCTGTCTCTCCTTCCTGTCCTCTCAACCAGCCGGTCAAAGCAGATGGTCTCTTGTCCTGAGCTGGTTCTGCTGGAGGTTTCTTCCTGTTAAAGGGAGTTTTTCTTTCCACTGTTCCCACTGTGCTTGCTCAGGATGGGAGACTGCAACGAAGCCAAGATTCAACTCGTCTGCTGGATTCCTTAGATAGAGAACTTTACTAATTGGCTTTTATATATGTGAATGTTCCTGTAAAGTGCCCTGAGACAACTTTGTTGTGATTTGGCATTATATAAATAAACTGAATTGAATTTTCAACTTTAATAACATGCAATATGTTTCACATCATCGTTTAAATCTCATAACTTGAATTACATAATGTCCAGATTTACATCAATCAACCTTTATTTATACAGGTAAATCCCATTGAGCCTCGAGGACTCATTTACAAGAGAGACCTGATTTCAACAAACATAATGACCAGATAGCTTCAGTTAGCTCAGATAGTTTCATTACATCTCCCACATTAACAGAAATACTGTTTATTATTGTTACAGTTATTATTTAGCACATTTAGTATGTTGTAGTCCGGTGCGACATGTGAAATATCTGCCTGCCTCGACAGGCTCGTTAGTGATTTTAGAACTGGAACCGACTGGGGTCTCTTTCCAACACAGATGTTGTCACAGCAGCTACTTTCCAGCGTAAGTTAACCACGAGACTCAAAATATATTCCATCAGTCATAGCACAGAAAGCAGTATGTTATACTCCGCCGCCATTGCGGTTTATAGAAATATGCCATTGGTCCACGCATGTGTGAAATCTATGGCTGTAGTGCATATGTGCTTTAACACCTCAGAGGGCGACGGCCTCAAAAACCTCCACTCTGAGACCTGGGTTGAAAAACCTCCGGTTTCAGCGAGGGTGGGGGCTGGTGTCATGTACTGTAAATTGTAGATGAACATATGCATGAGATATATTCATAAATTAAACGGATTCTTTCATTTTTCTGGACTGTATATAATGTGCATTGAATTTAGAAATGTAACGTGAGACGTTAATTATCTTTGACTCACCAAACAACAGTGGGTCATTTATTAACAGAATCAAAGTTCAACACATCACACATTTACATTAATTGGCAAAATATGGAAAATAACAACATGGCTAATTTTAGCAAGCTGTACAATTTTGATCGACCACACGGCGGTGGTTGAGAACTTTACACAGACATTTCTAAAATATCTGGAATGATTTCTACCTGATAGAAGAATTTTAAAGATGGAAAGAGGAAGTTTAGAGGGAGAAAAGATGGATGAGGGGGTTTGTTTGTGTCAGCATTCAGAACGGCACTCTCCGGTTTTTCTCAGCTTCTTCCCCCAGTACACTTAGGTGGTATAATCAACTTTTTACCTGAAGATGTCTCCACTGGTACGAAAGTCCATTCAACGCACCCTTTCAGCGTCTCCGTAGGAACAGCTGTGAATCGTCCGAAGTAGTGACGGTATTCCGTCCGACACAGGTTCACCTCACGAGTGGACTTCACATGAGTGGAGTCCGTCAGAGTTCCACCCAGAGGTGGAAGATGTTATAATCCCATAAGACTCGGAAGAGCTCTGTGGTCATGTCAGGATCTTCCTGTTTCCCAGCACGGGAGCTGCAACGACTCCAAACTCGACTCTCGACCCGACTGGAAACTCCACACGACCCTCGACACTGGTTTGAACTAGGAAGTACCGACATTTTAAAGAGCTCTATTTCCGGTTCATTTGGGAGTTTCTGATTGGTCAATATCGACCAGACAGGGGTGTGTTTTGTGACGTAAGAGGTCACTAGGAGTCAGAAAAACAGCAAGAATGTTATGGAACAGATTGAAAATGTTTTTAGACAGACGAGAGGGATATTTAGACGAGTTGGCGGAAAACAGGTGCCAACAGGTGCCAGCTTCTCTATTTACGTCTGAGAGGATGTAAAAACAAGACAGTTCGTTCCAACACTTGTCTGCGTTTGAGTCCAACCTTGGACCAACTTACCCTGCTCATTCAAAGACAGAAAATCAGAAAATGCATAATTACTCTGTAACAGACCTTAACATGAATTCTAACTTTGCATGAGGATTAAAAATCATTATTACTGTTTCACAGTTAATAAAAATTGATTAGTTCACTACAACATCTAAAATGGTTTGAACTAAAACACTTTGATTATCAAACATTTGTAAAATAGTAATGATAATAGAAAAGAGAGTGTTCTTTCACTTGAATTTTCAAGAAAGAAAGTCTCAGGATGGGTCAACCTGTATTTCTGGATTCAAATCAATGAAATGACAGCTTCTGTCCCATATGGTCCTTAAGGTCAAAGTTTTTGACATCAGGCCTAGTTCACTACAAAATGAACAGTTAAATCGCAGAAAGGTGCGGTTTCAATCAAAATACACGTCGTGTAAACGGCCCCTGAAACTATAGAAATATCTGAATCATTACAGTAATGCATGTTAGGCATTATAGTGTTAGACTTTAGAACATTTGTTTTCATCTGACATTTCAGAGCTGGGAAATAATTATATACAACTTTTAAAAATTGTTTGGACATAATAGTTTACACTTAACAAGCACAGACTTCTTTTTAGCTCACAAAAAGAACTTACACTTGAACTTCTCTTCTTCACGTGCTCTAGTTAGGAGAACCAAACCCACTATCAAATTGTTGAAGTGTAGCCCTTTGGATGATCCTCCGAATGAGGTGTAGATTACCTAATGCACACAAAGAAACACATTTGAGATGTAAAAACCAAGAAATAAAATAATGAAAAATCTAAATTCAGTGTCTCAGAAAATCAAAATGTTACAAAACCAGTTTTTGGGATCTTTGGCTGTGTGGGCTGGTGCCAAGTCCTGGTGGAAAATTAAACACTTTTTCGTTGCGAGTCGCTCCATCTAGTTCACTCTAAATTTTGTCGTCAGCCACCAAGCACAAAAACGCCTGCACTTCAGCATTAGACCACTGTACTATTATCGTTTTTAAAATCTTCAAAATAGGTCCAATCGCTCCTCAGAGTTATTACAAATGGCGGATCGGGTTGTTATGAAAGTTTCTCAAACAACCAGTGACTCCACCCCTTAACCAATCAGTGACCGACAGTGTTCTGACGCCATGTTTTCAGGCCAGCACGGTATACTGAAAACACAGTGAAGTTTGTTCTGAAAAAGGGGCTGGTTCAACAAATCAAAGCTAGCGGAAAAGCCTTGGAACCGTGCAGGGCTAAGTCGAACCGTGCCGCAGAGATGCTAATGGAAAAGGGCCATAAATGGACGTGCTCTGCCCTATCTGTCTGAATTGCTACATCCATACACACCCTCTGGATCCCTCAGGTCATGTGATCAGTTGCTCCTGAGTGTGCCGAAGACAAAGCGTAAGCTCGGAGGAGATTGTGTTTTTGCTGTGGCAGCTCCTAAACTGTGGAACAACCTTCCCTTGAACATCAGACAGGCCTCTTCCCTGTCTGTTTTTAAATCTCTTCTTAAAACCTATCTCTTCTCCCTGGCCTTTGACATTATCTGAAATGTTGACTTTTAATTATTTTTTATTGACTCATGATTGTCTTATTATGTGTACTGCACTTTGGTCCTGTGGGTACTCGATAAATAAAGCTGGTATGGTATTTAACTTCACAGGACATTTCAAATATTTGTAGAATTTAAAACGCAGTTTATCCTCAATTATTCAGCTACCTGTAAATATGAATTCATATTTGGCTTTTTTCTACATAACATGTGGTATGTGGCATCCCTGTGACTTACCTCTGCAACTTTTGGGGGAACTCCATCTCCCAGCACTTCTCTGTAGAAGCACTGCTGGGTCATGTAATATGAGAGGCCACTGGTTCGTTTAAAGGCATCTTTTAGCCGCTTCAGCTCCACATCGGTAACTACAAGGACACAGAAACACAAGTGTTTATAACAGGACAGATCAAGATGGTTTGAAAGCTTGGTGCTAAAATACTCTTGTGACCAATGTTCATTCATTCATTCATTCAACATTTATTTCTACAGATTAATCCCATTGAGCCTAGGGGACTCATTTACAAGAGAGACATGATGAGGTCTGGTTGCTATGCAATTTCTATGTTGCTCTTGGGGTCTTAGTCTATTTTGGATACAGAGTTGACCTACAGTGCCTTGCGAAAGTATTCTGCCCCCTTGAACTTTTCAACTTTTTGCCACATTTCAGGCTTCAAACATAAAGATATTAAATTTAAATTTTTTGTCAAGAATCAACAACAAGTGGGACACAATGTGAAGTGAAATGAAATTTATTGGATGTGTCAAACTTTTTTAACAAATAAAAACTGAAAAGTGGGGCGTGCAATATTATTGGGCCCCATTACTTTCAGTGCAGCAAACTCACTCCAGAAGTTCAGTGAGGATCTATGAATTACCCAATGTTGTCCCAAATGACTGATAATGATCAATAGAATCCACCTGTGTGTAATCAAGTCTCTGTATAAATGCATCTGCTCTGTGATAGTCTCAGGGTTCTGTTCAAAGTGCAGAGAGCATCATGAAGACCAAGGAACACACCAGGCAGGTCCGAGATACTGTTGTGGAGAAGTTTAAAGCCGGATTTGGATACAAAATGATTTCCCAAGCTTTAAACATCCCAAGGAGCACTGTGCAAGCAATCAGATTGAAATGGAAGGAGTATGAGACCACTGCAAATCTACCAAGGCCCGGCCGTCCCTCTAAACTTTCATCTGGAACAAGGAGAAGACTGAT